TTTCTTCCACAAGCGCGTCGATGTGCCTAGTCTAGAGGATGCATATTCGAAGGATGGATAGCTTCAAGCTCTGTTTGGCAAGTGCAAGATGCTGATGAATCTTCCACCTAGACTGCTGAAGCGAAACTTGAATTCACTTGTGCTTCGAAAGGCAACCGCTGGATGGAACGAGAGGGCGCAGGAGATACAAGCAAAGTGGCAATATGATGCGGTGAAGGTGGAAATTCAGCGGTGGATTCAGGGGCACAAGCCAAGGCCAGACATCGAGCAGGGGCCCCCTCCCCCAGCGGAGAAGTATGGGTGAGGCCGGCAGAGGTGAAGGGAGCGGACGCAGGCTAGAGCTGATGATGGGACAGCTGGAGCTGAAGCGCTGGAGCTAACAAGACAACATCCTGACCGGCAGGATGCCTCGGAAGGGGTGTGACCCTTTGCATCTTGCGTGACCTTTTGTATTTTTGATTGAGTTACAAATGTTAGCAGTTTTTCATAATCTTGTGGGAACGGCCGTGGGTAATGCAAGTGGTGCGTTGAGGTGACAGATACTTGCAAAATCCTGGGATTTCTGCCTTACCGGTCTCCTGTACCCACCCCGTCATGTACCCCCTTGACAAAACTTACAAGTTTGTAAGTTGTTTAACAACTATCAATGTCACATACCCGATGTTCCCGTCCATCAAGCTTGCCCATTCGCTTCGCTAGTACTTCAATGCTACTCAGTGAGTGACTCCTTGTGAGTCATCTCCCTTTCACGTACTTCACTCTCTCAACTCCCTCTCCATCCCACAACTAACACGAACTCCATTTTCCAGGGCGGGAGGGCTGGGTGCGAAACAAGATAAGCAGGGGGACCGAGGGACTGCCTAAATAGCCGCCCCTCGCCGCCCCGCCAAAGCCCGCCAAACTCGAGGGCGCCATCGCCGGCGGCACCTCATATTTTCGTACTTTGACTGACCCATGGTACTAGGGGTGGCCAGAAATCCCAAGGAATAGGGATAAAGTAAACCCCAGGTGTAAACTGCACCGTTTGAATCACCGGTGCAGCCCACCCGTCGTCATCCTTTGTAGAAACCCATTAACAGGATAGTTAATTTCATTTACCAGCTGTTCAATTACAGTCCATTCTGCTCAAGTAAATGGCCACCACTGTAATCGAGAGAAAACCGTAGAGAAAGGAAAGGTCAATGTGCTCAGCAGAAATCACATTGAACCGCATGACATACGGTTACATTTAGCGGTCATGCAGCTGCTGAATGATCAAGGCAAACATATGCACGCTCAACTTCTCTCCAGAGCACACGAATTGATGCATTTACAGCTGAGATGTCCTCCACCTCGCTGTTTTGCAATGCCGCTCATCAGAACCGTCCAGAATGAGCAACAATGACGTCAATTGAAGAGCACTCTACGGGCAGCACGGACGGCTGTGACTGGGCTGTGAACTGGTCAAGGAAAAGGGCGAAAACTAGTCAGCTAGAGCCGCATGCTGACGGGATACAATACAGTTTGACGGTGATGGAATTTGGGTGTACAGAATTGGGTTTAGTATGCGATTATGGTAGATTGTCCAGTACTATTAGCCGGGGAAAAAGAGGCACGGTGTGTGCAGGGCGTGTGGTGAGGGACCCTGAGTGAGAGGTTGGCCGGTTTGTAAGGGCCTTTTGAGTGACTTTCAGAGGGAAAAACGGCCAATTCCTGACCCGTTTTGGGGAGACCATGAACCGTGGGGGGTGTCCTTGAATGGACCTGAACTTTTGCAAAAGGTCCTAAGACCTTGATGGGACAGGTACTGGCAGGGTATAGGGGTCCAGTGAGGCGTGATGGGACGTTGGGTGCGGCTGCTAACAGTACTTTGTGGTTTTGCACTTGTACGGGAGACCGCCCTTTTGATATTTCGTGTAATGTACCGTATGTCGGACGTGACCGCGCCCCCCTGCATCTGGTCCGCGCGGGTTGCGCCTGCACCCCGCCTACGCCCGCTGTGCCCGGTCTGCTCGGCGCGCCGCAACACCCCAGCCTCCCCGACCATGCAGGGACCGTCGGAAGCCCTCCCTCGCCATGGCCGGAGCATCCCCACGTTCCGCAGGCGGGTCGAACGTGCTCGCGTTCGGTGTGGGCGGACCCTCCGGTTCCGCCATGCTCCATGGCGGAGCGGTGCTTTCTCTCCCTCCGGGGATATTTGTGGATCCGTGCACGCAAGGACGAAGGGGCCCGGGTGAGCCTTTGGTCGGCCCGGACGAAGTGGGCAAAGTGGTGCTCGCGTGCCGCAATGGGCTCGGTGGGGCGGAGGCATGGGCCATGGCCTCCGGCCCCGGAACGCCCCACTTGTGGCTCCATTCCGCTTTTGATGCCATGACTCGGTGGCGAGTAAGACACCTGAACGGCCAGCTGTTTGCCATTCACGCCTACTGGGTTGCGGCGATCCCCAACGTCCGGTTGGGCGATCGACTTCGGCGGAGTGTATTCGCCGCGAATTGGCGAGGCGAAGGAGTTTGGAGCACCTCCGAGCGAGATGCCTGGATGGCCGCCGAGTGCGACGGCCCGGACAGCCCTCCCGCGCCGTTCGCGTGGGCCGGGGAGGGGTGCGTGGGCGGCCTCGCTGAGGGAGACGGGGGGCTGCCGGTGGGGATGGTGGAGCGCGCCACCCGGGCGTACTGGAGGGTGGTCGCCGCATCGCGTTGGAAATGTTACGTAATGACTGAGTGGGAGGTGGAGCTGCCAGGCCCGGAAGGAAGCTGGGTGATGCAGGGAATTCAATTGAGGGCACGCATGTCGTACATGGGGGAAAGGGAGGTAGAATGGGTTAGGCAGCCTGGGGACAATACCCACTACGGGACTGTGGGGTGTGATGGGTGTACATGGGATGAAAAATGCATTAGGTGTATTTTTTGTTTGGATAGGGGGATTCCCCCTAATTTGATTTTTCAGGAACCTACAGCTCTTAGTTCATCGCAGCGTGAGTGGGAAGAAGATGTACAGCAGTACATCTTCATGGGGGTGCTGCCAAGGGGTGCTGACGGATGTTGATTAATATGGTAGTGGTCAAAAGTGACTCTTTTGGTTGTATTGGGTGACCCTTTGAAAAGGGTCAACTTGGAGAAGGTCAATGGGAACTTTTGAGGAGTACAAGGGGTACTGGGGCCTTTTCCGTCTGTTTGTTTATCCAAGGGTCACTGAAGTGTAGTGCCCTTGGAGCTGGCGGGGGTATTTAGGAGGGCTTGTTTGGGGTGTGGGTGCCCCCTCTCCCCTCTCTCTCCGCCCCCCACCCGTCCGTTTTTGGTTCTAGCGGTCTGAACGGCGGGTGCTCTGTTGAAAACGGTCGTGCTGTGAGTGTGTGGAGGTCGAACGTGGTCGAAGGGGAGCAGCTGTGTAACGAGCACTTTCGTTTCCGTGTGCCTTCGCCTCCTGACCCTTCGGGTCAATTGTCCTTGGGGTTGTGCACCGCTGCACATACCCATAGCTCGACGCCGAGCTCGATTCCCATTTCGTTGACCGACTGACCCGCGCGCGCCCACGTTGGGCACTGACTTCGTCGACTCAACGACTCGTCTTCATCGTCCGCTGCTTGGCGAGTGAGTGGAGCGCAGCGCTGGACCGCAGGGAACGAGCATCGACGACATCGGTTTGCGACATCTGGAGAATGGTCAGTACGCTCGGTATACTGAGCTACTGAACGAGGTGTGGAGCGTTGTCTCACAGTTTGAGCGTGTATTTTCGTGCCTCTCGTCGAGCTGATCAGCAGTTGCATGTTTCTCGTTGTGTGTGAACGGTTAAGGTGAACTTGAACACGAAGTTCAGCTCTGGGGTTGCGCCTCGCTTTGGCAGCGCTCGACCACACCCCAAGTATCCTGTTGGGCTTGAATTTACTTGCTGTGGTGATTCTCGTTGTCCTGTGAGTGTTTATGAACTAAGTTGGTAAAAGTGCAGGAGCGGAACGCTCAGAAATGCTGGGCGATTGACAGGGCTGTAATAGTGGCTGTGTCATTAGTGACTTTCGTTGAGCGTATATGGCTGGACGGTGAGCCATATTGCTGTTCCCAAGCGTAGACACCCTCCTGGCGGTGTTTGTCAGCTGTTTGTAACATCATGGCACTCGAACACAGCGGGGACGGATTTGAGGCAGACAATGGCAGGTCTCTTGGGGTAGAAAGGACCCATTTGTTGTCGTGTACGATGAATGGACCCTTGGCATAAATACGGCGGGGATATGCGGTGTAGCGGCCCCCAGTCTGTAGTGCAAGGTTGTGTTGTGACTGGCGCACCAAGCAGGCCGCCTCGCGAGTCGAGTGTGGGACCTGGAGGTCAGGCGAGTGGATTTCGTTCGGGAAGGAAGCTCTGAATCCGTGTGTGGAGAGCGTTGCCCCTGAGTGAATCCGTACCTGGATCTGTGTGTGCATGTCTCTTTCCACTGCGTTTGCCCTGAAGGGTCGTACCATGCGCGGATACAGATCTTTGCAGCGGTTAGCAACCATCATTGATACCCTGTGCAGGGCACCCCTTCCAGAAAGTGTTTTGCATTTAGCCAGACAACACCGAACTACCTCTCTAAACAGTTCCAAGCAGCTCGGTAGCATGTTTTTCCACAAGCAGGGGAGTGCACTGATGAAGCCCATTGCAAATGGTAAGTGAATCAACAGCCATTGTCCCAGGGGTATAGGAACGCAAGCTTTGAAGGTATCATGCTGCATTGTACAGCGGCCAGAAAGAAATGTGGACCCAGGCCTGGAACCCAGCCCCTAGCCTGCGACACCGTGCAGCATGGCCAGCATTATTCTATGCCACAATTCAGCTGCTCCGCGACATGTCGGCACTGTACACATGTTCGATGACGTGAAGCAGCTGCGCACTTCAATGGCCCTGCAAGAAACGACCAAGGGCATGGACGTGGAGCTGCCCACATTGGTTCGACTGCATTGTCTCCAAGAATCCCATCACAACGATTCTAAACCACCTGCCCAACCAACACCAGTGGCCATGAAGGGCCCAAGACCAGCCGGCAACATCTACCCTGTGTTTCGCATTCCAGCAGCAATTCCGTTGATGGTGATCAGCAGAGCCTCACGCAGTCGTGCATGCATTGGATCACCCCGCAGGGTTCTGAGGATGACGACTTGAAGGATGTTTATGGGATCGATGTATGGATTTCTCATCTCAATCAGACGCCTGAGGGTTGGGTTGTTCTCACAGAGCCGTGTGTGTCCAGTCAGCTGAAGAACCACCTCCACTGTCTTTGCATACCGTGCACGCAGGTCCGATCCAATTTCCTTTTCCTCGGGATCATCAACCAACACATCGTCGTAGAGTGCAGCGATCCGCATGTCAGCCTTGGCAAGAATCATCTCCACCAGGTCCACAAACGACTGAAAGAATGGCCATTCTTCATACATCTCTTTCAGCATCTCCAGCTTCCCCTCATCAATGCCCTTCTCAATCGCCTCGCCAATGCCAAGCCACGAGGGCAGGATCAAACGAGTCTGCGTCCATGCGAATATCCAGGGAATTGCTCGAAGTGTCTCAATGCCACCGCCACTTCGACGCCGTGTTGGACGTGAAGCAATGTTGAGGTTCACAAACTCAGATTCAGGTGTTGCGTGACGAAAATATTCCACGAATCTGGGCCCACCAATTACTTCACGATATGTCTTGCACGCCTCCTCCGACATTACGTCCATGAATTTCCGCCATTCCTCCAAACGTGGCGGCCGGGGCGGTGTGAGGGTTGCGAGAAGAACAGCAGTGGTGCAAATCTCCAACTGGTTCTGCGCGACAGCAGGTATCCCAAACTTTGCCTGGACCATCTCACCCTGGACAGAAGCAGTCACAAACGTGGACAACATTTCAACAGACTACCAGTCACACTAGGGTGCACTCTGCAAGACATGCAGGCCAGGTGATCGCCTTCCTTTAGGAGTTTTTGTTGGGGCCTTGCATGGCAAGAAGCAGAACATAGGGTGCGCACACTGTCGAAGAAAATTGCAGCAGACACACCCAGGTTGGGCAGATAGCATATGCCCACACTAGCGGGCTCCTGAGTTTGTCTACAGCGCTAAGTATTGGGACCACATTCCTTCAGGGGGAGTGGGCACATGAATCCCTTAGAAATGTCAGCACAATGGAGGGCCTGGCGCACAAGTATGCGAACTGCGCCAGCAAGGTTTAACAAACGCGCATGAATTCTTGGTCACACGCTGTCCATGTTCAACAGCAACCTCAGCATTTTCGACAACCAAATACCATCATGAAAGGCTTTCGTGGCTCCATGGAACACCTCCTCCCCATGGACATCAGAATACATGCTCCAGTCACATGCGCATCCGATACGACTTGGATGTGCCAACTGCATCTTCGGACATCAATACAACCCAATCGGACAATTGTCATGCGTTTCTTGCCACACGCCTTGAATTGCATGAGGATAGAAATGGGCCTGCATTATATTAACCCACTACAATGGGTGCCTTCAAGTGTTCATACAGTTGTGTCTCACATCAGCCAAACAGCAGCCATCAGCTATGGCAATCCACAGCAATAGGCATGGTTACTGAGGAAACTGCAGAAAGCAAAGCGGCGTTCAAACCTGCTCTGTTATCCTCAATCTCCCTGAAACACTGCCAGGTGGTTGAGATTGTATGGCCAGGTACATTGGGCCTCCACCACGACCAATGGATCCTCCTCTTCCATGAAACAAGGTGAGCTTAACGCCCTGCTTCTTTAAAGTTTCCACAAGAGTCTCCTGGCATTTATAGAGAGCCCAATTGGCTGCCAAGCGCCCAGCATCCTTGCCAGAATCGGAATACCCCAGCATGACCTCCTGCTGGTCAGCGTGCACTTCCCTAGCAAGCAGCACAAACAGGATGGAACAAAACAATTTTCAGTGGGTGACCAAGGCAATGCTTCAGTGCAAAGTTAACACGTCCACAGTATGTGCAGTAAAGTATTCCATCAGTCCAAAGCAAACACGGAAGAGTATCTAAAGACCATTGCCTCAGCATGCGGGGCAATCACAAAGAGCTCTGAACATAGGCTGAAATCGTCTTGTGCATTCCAAATTGCACAGGGACCTGAAATGGAACTCTGAAGCCAGAATTACGTTGTGAAACTTTCTGAAGGTCTCGCAGCAGTCATACACCATATCCACACAAACCTAACCACAGTGTTTGGACAAAAGCCGTACTTGCATGGAGCATCGCCCACAGTCCAAACAAGTGGATCGCTCCATTCAAATGGTAACAACAAACCTACTGTTTTGGGCACCTATAACCACAGGAAAACCTCTCCCTAGGAGTGAGCATTAACAGCAAGGGAGATGAATGTACACCTACCTTAGGTGCTTCCTGTACCACTCATTGGACAGGAGCCTGTCCATGACAGCCCCAGCACCATCCAGGTCCGACAGGGTCTCAAACAGTGGCACCACCCTCAGGCTGTTGGAATGATCTGGCTGTTTGAAATTCTCTGATGCAATCAACAACCGTGCCTCACGCTGAAGCAATTCCACAGCAAGCACATCGCTGGCAGCCGAGGCCATGCTGATCACATAGGCTCCCAGAGAGCTGGTGCCATGTTCTGCCACCACTCGAAATGTGTCAATGACCTCCTTCACTTCATCTGACACAGAAATGTTGGGAGAGATGAGTGGTCGGTTTCCCAGCAGCTCTTTAGTCTGCGCAAAAACAGATGTCAGCACCACAATGATCTGCAGTGAGAGGGCTAACCTTCACATACTGGCGATGCAGAAGTTCACAGCATTCTAGTACCAACACGACTGCACATATTCGCATCACATATACTTTGGTCCAGCACCAAAATTTTGACCAGCACCTTGGGCACCAAGTTCAGTATTTAACAAACAGAGGCCGTTTACGGAGTGCATTCGAGATGGCCGCATTTGAAAATTTCAACACTACTATTTTTGCTCCGCACATTTGCAAAAGCCCGTTATTTCGGGGTCTCTGCATCATGGTCACACTGGAATGGCACCTCTGCTGAGTTTGCAAGGTGCCAAAAGCTGGTTTTCCATCACAGTGACTCACTCATCCAGGTTTGCTAATCGCCAGGAGCAGTCCAGAGACCCTTGCATTGTGGTTGCAGCCGCTATACATTTCTTGGAAGGGTATAATATACTACGGTGCTGATCTGCTGCCCCTCCATGTTGAAATGCAAATCCCTGGAAAACTGAACTGGAATCCAAACATGTCTCGATCGCCAAAAAAAGTGACTGCCTCTGACCAACTGCCGCAAGAGAACATAATGGATAAAGTACTGGCAGCCTCCTCACCAGGAAATCCAGCCGTTTGTCTTCATCCCACTGGGAGTATGAGCCATAGCCCAGATAGTTTGTGATTTCATCCAAGGCAGCCGTGTGCCTGGTTGACTCCTGACGAACGTCCAGCTTCATTAGCGTGGTTCCAAAGCAATAGACTCTCCGAATAATGTCCAGCAAGCGACCATCTGCAATGATGCCAGCACCTGTCTCCCAGAGCGACCTTGAAGCACATGAAACACGACTTGGCCACAAACAACAGACACAAAAAAACTAACCACAGTTCAAAATAAGTTGAAATCAATGCGCTCAAGACCAGAAAAGCCACTCTTATCCACCAACCCTGCAGTGTGTTGGATGAACAAGTGGAAAACGGTACAAAAATGAACCACTGCCACTGTCTGCCACAGCAACCCAGCGCCCACGTTGCAAGCCAGTAATTTACTTTTCTGCAGTGGATGCAGGAAATCTACCTCTTGACCCACACAGCTCATCTACAAGCCACCACTGCAAACAATTGCACACGTCGCAGCCTACCTGTAGCAAGCTTTCAGGGGATGAGCCAGCTCCTCTGGGTTGTCATACCACCCACCCTCATCATCATCAGGCTTCTGGCCAGACAACACGTCCTCCATGTGCTTCTTTGTGTTTTGCAGCTTCTGCCGAACCTGTCAGCATATTCCAAGGTGGGCAATCAATTTGAGCAGAACGCAGCATAACAACAACTACCATGGTTACAAAATTGCACCATGGAATACTTGCCCCAGTGCAGGTGCCACCGTACCATGGACCATGCATGTTAGCAGCAATGAGCCCAAGGTTGGTCCCAGGTGGAACACACATAAGCAATACTAGTTTGGCTCCATTGCCGATGCAGGGAAGAAGTGGGCAATAAGACAACTTTAGAGTGTCGCAAACACAACAGTCTTTTGATATACCCAGCGAATCACCAGCACAAACAACTAAATGAGCTCCACCCATACATGCAGGCCTTTCATACTCCCTCATTGTCAACTACTCACACAGCCAACTCATTCATTTTCTTGCATCATACCACTCATCCAGTTTCTGTGAATGCATTAGAGTGCAGGATGCAAAACCTGACTGTTTAGGCCAAACTGCACAGCAGTTCAGAAGCGTTTTCCAGCAGTGCACCCGTGCCAACTGCAGGAACCATTCAAAGCCTACAGAAGGAACTGTTGCCAAACAAATTCAATGTAATAAAGCTGGCAACATGATGCATGTTCCTCTGCATAGGGCCCCTTCAGAATATCACTTCAACAAAAGGCTCCCAAGCTCCAAGAACACCACCCACCAACCCATTGTGGCAAGCAACAGAAATACCACGTTGCTGCCATTCCTGCCTTACATGGGAACTGTGCAGTATCTCTGTTTAGCGAAACCAACCCACAACAGGAGCAATATAGCAAGCAGACTTGTGCCATTCTAGCGTGTAGCTCTTGACATTATCGCAGAGTTGCTTTGAAACCAGCGGCATAGTTTACTGTGATAGGATAGATTCTACTCCCAAGATATGGCTTCACCTAATGGCTTCAATAATCACTGCATGTGCTTGCTCTAGCATCCAAGGCAATATAGCCCATGCTTGGCCACACATAAGCCCAATTGCACAAATGTCATCTGCACTGGATTCTGCGTATGGCAGAAGGCAGAAGAACTGCAAGCATCATGAAAGCAGTATGGCTCTATTCTCAATGCATCCAATGGAATCCAGGCTCCACATTCCATGCACTCATCCTTGCACTTACACTTCCAAGAATGATCCTGTAGGGGTGGCATCCTGCATGGCCACCAACAGGATGCAGCATTTTGTCCACTGTCAACTTTTGACTGGATTTTTTGTCCAATTTCTTCTTTGCTGCACCTGAGGCTTCTGGCTCGCTTCCAGATGATTCCTGGAAAAACAAAATGCACTTTCTTACTAACTGTGGACTCACCACATCCAAACCATTGGGTGCCTGCAACCATTGAAGGAAGTGTAGCGAATCCTCATGTGTGTAAACAACCACAACACAGAATGCCTGGCTACCTACTTTCTGTTCGCTTTGTGGGAAGGGCTCTATCTACAGTTTCTACCATATCATGGCAGGTTTACAGCATTTTTACTGGGAGTTATAGTTTTAGGGATGAGCCCCTCCTGACTGTCCATGTTGATCGTGTCAATAGTGCAATGTAGTCTGCACAACCCATGTTGCCAGGCCTTGCAATGTTGGTCAGCAAAAGGAAAACATGAAACAGATGCGATGCTCATTCCGCAGGTAATTAAACTGAATAATCTGCAAGAACACGCAACTTTGTCTTCAGCCAGCTTCCCCGGCCAAAGACAATGTGTGCAGTCTATACACACATAGGATCAACTGCAATATGTCAGCATCAACTATACAGAAACAGGGAGCACCAAAAAGAACCGTTCATGACCTCTGGCACCCATTAGCACAGTTGAATGAATTTCAAGTCCCAAGGAGTATCCTACCCGTCTTGAAGGACATTGTGACTGCTGTTCGACACCCTGCAGAACACAACAACCTTCAGCATGCCAAAGGCGGCCAGTAGCAAATTTTCATCACAATCTACCGAAACCATTGACTTGGAGATCATCCAGTCCTTGCCAAGGTGTGTTACTTGTTGAATGCGATTGTTGGTGCCCCAGTGGTGTGCCCCAGTGGTCGGTCTTTGCATCGTTCGATCTGTACTAACTGTAGCCACATTTTACATATTTGTGTGAATCGTGCCCTTAGCGCAGGTGAGGCAACATTCCCTTCATCGCTGGATACCCACCACCTACCTGAGTTGGTGTGAGTTGCCCATCAATGGACAGGCTTGATTCAGAATGCAAGAGCTGGTTTTCTGATGCCACTGCCCGCAGAATGGGCGGCATGGAAGGAAATGGCGCCCGTGGCAGCACACCAGTCATGGCTGCTTCGAACGATTGAGGGCCCACTCCAGTGCCTGAAGCAAAAGGACAAGAAGTCACAGGTCATGAAGGCAAAGCCACGCACACACACAAACACAATGTCTCATTTTGCTGAGCACTATGATCCTTCTGCAGCATGCTGCATACCAGCACTTTCAAGTTCGGCAACATCTTACTGCTTTCACCTTATGTTAGTCCTGTCCATCTGGCATCTTAAAAACAACAACCACAACTCACCAGTCAACATTGTGCACTCCTGGGCAGCAAATCCGCCCACGTCGTAGCTGACATAGCTGTGTAGGGCACCAGGATCACCATAGCCAGCTATGGCATTGTCTTCATTGATTGTGACTTTGACCAGATTCCACAGTTCGCTGCTGCATTTGGTCATGGATAACTGCGAAAGATTGACAAGTAGTTCAGAGCTACAGCACAGCACAGAGTGAAAACCACACAGTTGGACCCTTGGCCATTCCTCAAGTGTAATATTGATCTCCAAGAATCCTAAAGCCTCACAGGCACTTCAGCTGCGATCAGCAAATGAGCGGTTTAAAAATGCATGTCCTTCCCCTGCCATGCATTGTTGCCATGGTGAGCGCTACCTCTCAACATGCACTTCCAGCAAACAGTGGGTGTTTTGCATCGACCCTTTCATGGGGCAGCCAGTCAGCGCACAATACACTGGGGCTGCAGTAGGAATGCTTCATTCCCCAGGCTTGTACCAGGCCCCAGGGTCCAGCAGCACTCAGGTACCCACACGACGTACTGAGCACCCAGGCATTAGTTTTCCAAACCAGGTACCACCAGTAGTTGGGCCTCCAGTAAGATGAGTAAAACATTTGGTATGCCTGGCCCAACCATTGCATCCCTAAAACACTTCCTCAATTCCCCCCAAGCCATCCATGCAAGTTGCCCTATGGCCATATGTTCCCATCGACTGCACCTACCTCCAGTCTGAGAGCATCAATTTCCCGAAGGTAGAGGTCAGCAGCAATCCAACGAGCCAAACAGACAGCATTTCGAGTGACCTCTGCAGTTACAGAAGGATTCCCATCTCGGTCACCCCCCATCCAAGAACCAAACTTCAGGATCTGGGCTTCCAATGGCAGGTCTCTTCCTGTGACACAACACCCAGAAATTGGGTATTCAGACACATTGCATGATGGTCCTCTGTGAAGATGCGCCCCTTGTGGCAGTATCTCAGCATGACAGACAGCACAACACGTTCCCTGAAGCACTTCTATGATGCTCAAGCCAGGATTTCAACCAGAATATCTCACAAGTATCTTGGGCCACGTGACGCCACGCACGCGAACGTGCCGGGCGTGATGCCATAGGTTTGGGGTTTAGGGGAATCTGTGTGACAGGGGAAGGCGTCACGTGACCCAAGATACCCTGGAATGTCAATCCACAGCTGAATATGCACATACCGGAACAAGGCTACATTTATCACCAGAGGCTGCTGCCGCTGCTGCCGCTGCTGCCAGTGCTGCCAATAGTGCGCCCATTTATGCAACAAACACCACAGCATAAATTCCCATAACACTTGAATCTGTTTGGTACAGCACACCACCAAGGCAGACACAATACCCATCCAATGTTTCAGACATTCACATAAGTGTGAGAGATATTGTGCCACAATATTGGCCTAGTATATTTTGTGTAAGGAACTGGTTCAACACAGAACCTGCACCGCAAACCAGATGAGTTGTCATGCTGTACCAAGAGTGCATTGCGTGCATTTCCATGGTCAGAACGGCAAAGTTTTCATTCGTTGTTTGCATTGGTGCAACAAGCATGACCCCTGAACTTTAACATTTCTATTCTTATTGCCATTCCCAACCCTCCACCACAAGACACACATATCCAATGATAATGACTGATGATGGGTGTCAATCCTTCCCAATAATAGTTTTCTGCTGCACTGCGAGAAGCAGTTGCACCAGAGGCTGCCAAAGCTAGAATGCCAGTTCATGTGGTTACCACAATCTGCAACAAACGCCCTTTAAATGTAGGTTGAGAAAACCCTTGATAGACAACTGCCGCCAACTGCAGCAGCAACCAGGATGGGAGCAATATGATGGGAGCATTCACTGGACAATTCTTGCTGAGCAGATGAGCAAATGTGAACCAAAATCACACACGCATCGAAGCACGAGCCAACGAAAAGCACAGCTCCGAGCACACTCAGCTGGAGGATACCAGCAGGAAGCAGGCAACCGTGCCAGATGTCTTATAACACTGGAAAATTTCTTGGAGGATAGCAAGTGTACTTGTTAGGTGAACAAGTGGCAGGTCGATCAAGCTGCTCACTGTTGTTGCAGAAAAGCACATCACTGTTGGTTTGCTGTGTTCCTGACCCGTGCCCTGTGCTCACAATAGGCAACTTCACAGGGATCAAAGCTATGTGACAAAAACAGAACATAACATGACATTGAGTACCTTGAGAAAAACGTACAGTAGCAATGGTACACCCATGACAGCAATGCCAGGCTGTCCTTGCCATTTGTGCCTGGTGAATACTTCTTAAACGTTTGCTTTCCAACATGCTGCTGCAACAGATGTTCGGCTCCCCAAGCACTCAAAACACAGATAATGAAAACAAACTGGAACTGTCAGTTCCTTCCTGAGATTCCAGCTCCCTACCGGTGTATTTCTTCAGAGCCGCACTCACCCGGGCCACGAAAGCAGGTACTGCTGCCCACAAGGACTGTTCCAAAATATTGAGGCCTCCCCTAGCCTCTGTTGCACACAAACAGCTGGAGGCTTCACATTCTCACATCTTCACAACAAGCAAGTGGCCATACACTGGGTAGGATTGATAGGGACAAGCGGTGGGCAGACTGCAGGTGCCTAAATAATGCAAATATCACATGAAACAACATCAAATGGCTGCATCCTTTGCTTCATTGGTGGGAGGTGGATTAGGTACATGCAAAAGGGATTCGTGAATATAAACCTCCAAACATTCTGTCAGAAATCAGCCAACACAGCATATGGCCATGATGATAGCAAACAACAGATGCAGCTGTGCAACAATGCAGCGCCCACTTCACAGATTTGTTCCGATCCACACAAAATGCAAAACCTTTAGGTGTGACCTACCATCCAGTGGTGTTGGTTTCTTTCGCCTGAGCTCTTCTGTCTGCCAAACAGCAGACACCTCTTGGGCAAGCTCATTGACAACAGTTTCCTTCTCATTAGGTGTGAGATCCGACCTGAAGCAAACAGTTCATAGTCACACCTCTGCCAGTCCTGCATAAGAAGAATTTGCAGCAACAATGGAAGCCACTGACTGATATTTCAAGCCTTCCAGCATCCCAACCCACCGATCATTCTGTTGAAGAAGCGCAGCAATTTTGGTGTGCTTGTATTGCAGCGTCCTTCGTACTACTTGAGTCGGATGTGCTGTCAGCACAATCTCCAAGCTCTGCACGCAGCAGAAAATGTGATGAGCACAACATACAAGGGTGTGAGCGTTTTTGCACTCTCAGAGGTTGCGGATGCCTCCATGCAACGGCCTATCCCTAACAAACACAAGGATTTGCGTTGCTAAGAGAGGAAATGCACACAATTGACCATCCCTGAACTTCTTGCAGAATTGACATTGACATGCAAACAACAATGTTCAGATACCATAGGAAATGATGGAAAGCAGGGTCATGCACACTGCACAACACAGCATAGGTCCTGTGTGTCATCCCTCCAAGATGCCATGCCATGCCTCTGAACAGATCAGCCCGTTGCAGGGTGTGGTCTAAAGCATAAAGCTGAATTTATAGTTTTGTGTGCCTTTATCGAGGTTGGTTTCGAGTCCATGGAGGGCTTCTTCTTGGATGAGGAATCACCCAATGGACCGCCCGCCAGCATGTAACATCTTTCAGGCCTGGGTGTATTTCAAGTGTCCCACTGTCCCCTATTGGCCTGGTAGGGCTAGACAGCAAAGCAGACAGCGCTGCAATACAGGATGATGGGAGCATTAAAGGAGCAGCAACTTGCTGGAGCTTTAACTGCCGCAACTTGATGGACATGGACTGCGCCATTTTGATGACATACTCTGGAGTTTCATATTCATCTCACGTCCGTGATGGTAGGTGTCTGCATTCCCTGCATTTTGCCACGCAGGGCTCAATTTCTGGCGAGGTGTAGACCACTCAGAGGAGGGTTTTGAACTCTACCGAGGACCACACAGTTTGCAATGCACGCCAACTATGCTGAAGAAGCAGCACATCAGTTCTTTTATCTTTTTCCACTAACTTGTGAGCCAACACAGCCAGTGGCCAGTGAACATCCAACATTTGTCATCCCAGATACCACTTTTCCAGACTTTCGCACAAACTTGGTTTGATGCAGGCAATCTATTTGCCAAGCAAACCATGCCAACAATATCCATGCCATTGCTGAACCTGATAAGCACTCCAGAGGAAGCACGTTGGCAAATTTGTTGACTGCACTTGTAAATATACACCACCAGGCTTGCGTGATGTCGCAGTTTTCGCCACAGTTTCACACACACACCTCGCGGTGCACCAGAGCCTTACCTGGCTGGAAACCGCATCGAAAAGTTGTTGTGGGTCGACGCCTTCTTGCAGAAGCGCCCCAAGCACCTCGTCCGCCGATTTACCAGAAACGGCGCCCTGGCGACTCCGCCGCACTCTGCACCAGGGACACACAAGCGTCGAAACAGCCAGGTGCACAAGGACAAGCAGATTGAAGACGAAACGAGCACATTGTTGCGAACGCCCGTGCGTCAAGTCACAACGTCGTCACCTGTGATGAAGCTCCGCAACACCAGAGAGGCCGAGGTAGTGGCCACAGGCCCGCGTGAGCGGGAGTGCTTGATCGAGGGGCAGGTGGAAAAGCTCATCAACGAGTCTTTTTGACAGGAACTGCGAAGCGTCCTGTGCGTGGCATCACAGCGAGCCGTTTCAATCTTCTGACATCTGCACCCCGCGAGTCAGCGGGGATCACCGCGAGTCACCCGATGGAGCCCATGGACAACTGGCGGAGACAAATCCGAGCCTGGCTGGAAGATCACTGGGGGCTCACCGTGTCGCCCTTCTGGAAAAGCTGGGAAGCACATCCTGCAAGGCTCCGGAGCCGCTCTACCTGGAAAGGGACGAAAGCACACTGTCAACGCATCTCCACGTTCCGGCAGCACACAACACGTCGAGTTTCGCCTTTGTTGCCAATCAGCGTCACTCGCGTCCGGCGCAGCTCACTTTGAGAAAGTGCTCCTCTCCGATCTCCAGCCGCAGGCAGTCATCCAGCAACGACCCGATCAGCTTGCAGTCATCATCAAGAGAAGCAAGGGGATAGTCCTGCGAAACCAAAAGAGCAGCGGGCTCAGCCCCTTGAGTACGAGCTTGGCGCCTCAGGCGCGGGGCGAACGGCACGGACCTCTGCGTAGTGGAAGTCGTCCGTGCTGTCCGCCATAGTTCTCCACCTTCGAACGCAGCGAAACGCCGCAGGCGCAACCCCGCGAAAGCTGCGGCAAGGCGAAGCCACAATCCCGCTGAAGCTCTTTTTCTTCGCCCAAGGATATGCTGTCACGATACCACGAAGCACCCACATGGCACAGAATGCCCGCTGCTAAAGTCTGCTCGTCATCATGCGACGAAACGAAGGATCATCGAGGACGAGCGATGGCAGAACCCGGGCGACCTGAAAGAGAGTTCCGGAGCAGGTGCAGATGTGACAATTGGCCACAACAGGACAAGGCAGAACTTACTGATCGCTGCAGCGCTATTGCAGTGCAGGCAAAGCCTGAAAATCCAATGGCAGCTCTCGCTAATCCTCATCACAGGTCGCACTCCACGCACAACGATGATGAAGCATCAGAGCTCTGAAGCGCTGGAGGATTGATGGCAAGGTAGCACTGCGAAGCACGATGCTCCCTGTGATCGGCCACAACGAAGGGAACATCAATCTTCTGGATTCCCGCAGCCATCGAACTTATCAACAGGCTCTGATGAGTTTGGCATTAGATAGCTGGCGAAAACTCGTGGGATTTTTCTATCGAACTGCATACCTGAGAAGCAGCAGGCCAAACATTCCCAAAACACACTGAAAAAAATGACACAACGCAGCTCACCCTTGGTGCATGCTGCGATCGTGCTCTTCTTGGTGACTTGGTTATCGCCCAAATCACCAGGAAGAGAGCGATCGCAGTATCTTTTGCAGAGTTGAGGGTGAGCTGCATGCCGAAAATAGTGTTCTGTTCTTGTCGGGCTCATGAGCCTAACTCACATCGCATCTGATCAGAACGGTTCTGCAGATCAGCGATCTGCAACTGCAAACTCGTTTCCAGGAGGAGCACTTTGGAGTTTCGCTGCGCAGCGGATGCCCCTGGCTTTCGAGATTCGCTTCTTATGAGACTAATGTTTGGTGACTCATTTTCTGATTAGGAGACATGGATGGGCGCTTTGGATGCGCCAGGCACTGTGGACGATTCCAGTAGCCAAAATATGTTTCTGGCTGCCTTTTTTCCTTGGCAGCTTTGGCCCTCTGGTCCACAGACTGCCTTTTGAACGTGGGTCAAGGCATCCGTAGAATTCTTGGTACGAGTTTCAAAGATAGCCAAGGCCTATCTCGAATGGGTGCCTTGGTGGGCATTCTTTGTCGGCGAACAGCCTCTCTGATGGTGAAGTGGGGGGCCCACATAATAAAAGGCAGGGACCCATTGCAAGGATGCTCAAAGACCGCCAAGTACCTTGCTTGTTCCCAACCGCCCATTCCTTGGAGATTAATATCGACCTCAATATTGAGCGCGTTTTCGAGGACTGGGTGAATTATGAAGCGCTGGGGATTCGGTACTTGGGTGTGTGTCGCGATGCTAGGGCGTCTTTGGTCAGAGTGTAGGGTCAATTTGGAGTTCAGAGCATGTTTAACGGTGGTTGCTGTTGTGCCGGCGATGGAAAAGGGGCAAGCTCAGTCCTGGGCGTGGTCAGCTGGCACATTGCCTGACAAGAAAGGTTTTTTTTATCGCACTTGGAAGAATGGTTGAGGGGTGTTGCGGATGCAGACCATGAGCATGGAGTCGAGACGGAGATGAGACGGAGATCCTGTACATACACACCCTAAATCTAAAGCCGCACGGCCCAATCCTGACCGGTCTCCGTCTCCGTCCCCTTCTCCGTCCCAGTGAACCCTTAAACCTTAAAAAACCCACAAAAATGCGCCCTATCGTGACTTGTCTCCGTCTCCGGCCCCATCTCCGTTGCCGTCTCCTTCTCCATGACCGCCCAGTAGTCATGGTCTGTCTCTGCAACAGCATGGGATGGTTTTGTGCTGCCGACCTGTCACATTTCTCCACGGACTTGCCCCTCTGACCTGTGCGTGGGTCCTGGACTGAGGCGGGCCGCAGTTTGCTCCCACTTGTTCCGGCGTCATGGCGGAAAGGAACGCGGGTGAGGACAGTAGCCTCATAGGGTCTTTTGTGTCCTGGGGAAGCGATTGGCTGGGGTATGCTCAGAACCAAATCAACAGTTTCATTGGGTTCGACCAGCTTGAGGTTGTGAACCCCGAGAGCGAGGGCGCTGAGAGGGGGGCCAGCGCCGGGAACTCAGACGATGAACGCCAACAGCTGTGGTCCAGCTTTCAGCAGTATGTCGGGATGGACATCACTTCCCTGGTCACGGTGCCCGTGTGGATCATGGAGCCATTCTCAGTGCTCCAGAGAATGGCTGAGATTATGGAATACACAGAGATTCTGGACAGGGCCAACGCGTGTGAAGACCGCTTGCAGCGGCTTGCGCTTGTGGCGGCCTTTGGCGTGACACCCTACGGTTCGTCCGAGCGTCCATGGAAGCCTTTCAATCCGATTTTGGGAGAGACTTTCCAATTGCAGTGCGGCAACGGTGTGCGCTTTCTGTCAGAGCAAGTCTCTCATCATCCTCCGATTGGCGCAGCCCACGCGGAGAACCGGAACTTCGTGTATGACATCATTGCAGCGCCAAAGTCAAAGTTTCTAGGAAACTCTGTGGAAATTTATCCACAAGGGCGGACGCGAATAAGGCTGAAGAGGACAGGGGAGGTGTTTTCGCTGGTGCCGCCGACGTCAAAGGCGTGCAATGTCGTGGTTGGTGGCATCTGGATCGACTCATTTGGGACTTTGACTGTGGTGAACGTGAGCACAGGTGACAAAGCCGCTTTGGAGTTCACGCCCTGCGGCTGGTTTGGTGCTGGGCGATATGAGTACGAAGGACACGTTACGGACGGCAGCACTGGCGCAAAAGCCCTGCGCGTATTTGGAAAGTGGAACTCGCATTGCTCTGTTGAGCGCTTGGAGGATGGTTCGGCGGAGAGCAGTGGTCAGGCAGAGCGCTTGTGGACTTGCGCAGAGAAGCCCGCCGATGACGTCTACAGCCGCACCCATTTTTGCTTGAAGTGCAACACGTGCTCAGGCGCTGCTGAGCCTCTCGCTTCCGATTCACGCCGTAGATCAGACATAGCGTTCCTTAACAAGGGAGACTCCACCGCGGCAGGGACTTGGAAGTACGACCTGGAGGAGATGCAAAGGGCAGAAAGGCGCGAGAGAGAGAAAAGGGGCGACACCTGGGAACCCAGGTGGTTCCGGAGGGTGTCCAGTGGGGACCCAGAGCTCACCGTGCACCCCTGGGAGTACTCATTGAAGGAAGTGCCGCACTGGGAGTGGACAGGGGACTTTGACAATTGGGGGGGACCTGCACGTGTTTCTAATGAAGACAGCGTGCTGGGCCAGGGGTTCTCCCCATGGCAATATCCGGAGTTGCATGGAAAGGCATGAAGGGGTGCCTGTGAAGTCTCACAAGTGGCAGCGGGACATGCATAGGCATGACATCAGTGGCTGTGGTTCATGCTGAGTTTGGGTCGATGGAATGGGATTGTATTGGAGCAGTTGACCTGGAGCTGTCGAATTGGATAACTTGAAAAATCCAGGTGCCCCTGCAAACACACACGCGCACGCACACACAGAGATTCTTTAGGTATCCTAGCACCATGGTTTCTTTTCCATGGCAGACTGAAGAGGAGATTGACGCAGGAGTGCCCAGTGCTTCAAACCATCCCAACGAACTCTGCAAGCAGATCGCCTTTGCTGTAAAACCCCTTGAATTTGCAGTTGCACTTGCTGTTTGGTCAGGTATCTTGTTAATAGTTGCAACTCCACGTACCCTGAACTTTGAGATGGGCACCCTGTTGACTTCCAGGACCAAATGCGATTGTACGTTTTGTGATTGATGCCATGTTTCTTGAAGAGAATCCAGTTTGTTCGTTTTGCATACAGGACTGGCCATGTGGTCGCTGTGTGGGACACATGGGGCTTGTCATGGGTGATGTACGAGCACAGGCTAAACTCGCTCTATTCCAATGAGCAAGCTCACCAATGAGATGGGTTATTTTTCTACCACCTCTGTATGAGTCGTGTCCGATCTCAACTTTGCCCAAACAGAGGTCAAAACGTGCAAGTCAGAAATTGACCGAAACGACTTCGAAGCACCATATCAAGAGCTATCCATGGAGCCCTCAAACGTTCCAAATGATGCTGCCATTCTTGTGATATGTCAGGAGGAGCTGAAACACGATTATTCATTTTTTCCAAGCATTGGATGTGATGCAACATGTTTTCTTGCCCTTAAGAAGAGCTGGATTGATCTGACCTATCACAAGGAGAGATGTATGCTTTGGTGGTTTGGTGCCCACTGAAGATCCGTTTTGATCCGAAATGGAATCTGCAAAGGAAAGGATTTGGGTTCACTGCAAAATTTGTGGTAATAGCGACAACTGCTTGCAAGTGATGGTGAAATGCTAAAAGACACCTGTTAAAGGAAACGCACCATCATGCATAGCACGATGGGCATGTCCTCTTCGAAGTAAGCCAGAGAAGCGGCAATAGCTAGGCGATTGGAGGGGTCACCATCCCACACGCCGGCGCTCACATGGCCAGGCGACACGGTGTCCAAGGCGTGGTTCACAGCACAGGTTGCTGCGCCCCCAACATGCTGGGGTGCACTTAAAATGATCAGCCACGTTCATGTCAATTTCCATTATCTGATACAATGTCCCATTTTCGACGTCTAAGGATTGTCATAATCACAAATGCCCATAAGACAATTCAACCCCCATGCCACCTCATCACTACGATGCAGCCCACATCGGAAACATGCCACAACTTCCCTTTCACTCAGAATTCAAAACAACAAAATTCTGACTACTCAGGTGCCGCATATGTCATTTCCAAACGCCCCCACTGCAAAGTGCAAGTACAACAAATCTTGCAAGCCAAAGCGAAAGTCGAGGGCGGTCATAATGCTGTAAAGCTTCGGGAAACACACATCCAAAACTTCCCCACAACACACCCTTGCATCTTGCGGACAAGACACTATGACCAAGGCATCTCTATGTGAATTGCAGGACATTCTTTCATCAAGCTCATGTTGTCCTCAACAAACATAAGTGTGATCGAAAACTACCTCAAAAGCCAAATTCCAAACCAGGATTCAATCACAGAAATGGCTATTCGGTACTTTCAGATTTCTTTCAATCTCAAATAGCGATTCACGCTTTGACATGCCCACTAGTCGCAAGCCATCAAGCAGAAGTAATCCACCCAGTGAAACGGTGGTCATTATGCGGCGTCGCGAACACACCTTGATCATTGCAAGAGCATCTATCTTTCAGATGAGCCAAGGTTTTGAAGGCCACACATACTTGCATTAACCTAGAAAACGCCCTAGATTGATGCAATATAACCAACTGTTGTAAACAAGAATGTTGGCAGCATGATTTAGCATATTGAAAGAGATAATCCCCAAAACTATGACAATAATAGTATCAAATTGTTAAAAGGGTGTAGTAGTATCTACGTGTTGTTTACAACAACGTTCACAATAAATTTTGGTACTGTTGAAGGAAATGCCGTTGATGCCAATCAAACGGCCCCCTCTGGAGTGCACACGATAAGCACGAATCCATGATCGCCGATGCTTCAATGGGTTGGCACACGGCCAGACGCAAGGCCACGCCACACGCAAAACGCCCAGGGCTTACATATTTGTTCGCCCTTCCCACAACAGAGTCTTGCCGCCGCCGCCGGCAACGACCCCCACTCACAATTCCTTTTTTCGCAACCACTCATCCACCCTTTTCACTCCCAAAGATTGTCATCAATCACAAATGCCCATATGACAATTCAACCCCATGCCACCTCATCACTAAGGTGCAGCCAACGTATGAAACATGCCACAACTTCCCTTTCACTCAGAATTCAAAACAACATGATTCTGACTACTCAGGTGCCGCATATGGTCATTTCC